GATACCCAAACTCTTCAGAGAACAGTCTCAGGAATTAATTACACACATAGTTTGAATGATTTTGACTATCAGTTGAATAAATCTCTCCATATATTTGTAGTTGAAGAGTGAAAGAGTTTGCATATGCATTATTTCCATATAATTCTCCCATGTCAGAAGGCAAAAGGGCTTCAGCCATGTATGACAGTGCAGTCTGTACCCGCACTTGGGATTTGACTAACAAACATAATTCAGTTCAAAAAGTCTACTCCAACTGACATAATTACAGTGGTACAGGATTTCTTCATCTTTTGCATCTTGGCTGAATGTTTTTGTGGTTTCACATTCTTTATTCACTGATGATATGCTTTCCTTAACTTATGATGTCAAATACAAAGCCTGCATGCAAAGTGTTACAAGGGAAGTGACCAGCCTTGGCACCAGCCTTTTCTGACTTCCCCTCAGATTGTAAATTCATCAGAGCTTAAAATAGCCAAACTCTTGAGCTGTATATAAAGCAGGAGATATTGCTTCTAAGGGTGGTTTTGTTGCAGTTTCAAAACAAAAATAACAACCCAAACATCAGTTGTTCTTTTTTCCTTACTGCAACATAAGAGCTTGCTGGGCTACTACTGTAACAGGTAGGAACCTCAGTAAGCAGCATTCTGCTCAGGAGTCTCTGCAAGTCATTGCATTGGCCCTCACAGATACATAAGTCAACTTCCAGTCTACCTTTTAGTACTTGTTTTTAGAATGTTTCTGGGCTCTTATGGCTGAATTTCCTCTTCTGTTCTTTCTACAAGACAACAGAAATACTGGTGAATCTCAGTCAGTTATCCTTCTTTTCTTTATGAAATTGAAGTACTGCAGTATAAACTGCATAGGTTGCTTGGGGAGTAAGGGAGTAGTTGTGGGTAAGCACTGGGGCTTTCAACATCATCATCTGCTACAGGAAGATGGACTGCCACCAAGCAAGGCAACTATGTGCTTTCTCTTCCTGGACTCCTGCTTTCAGCCCCTTCACTGCCTTTTGCCACTGTAAACAGGTAGGAAACAGCACAATGATCTACATGAGGGAATCGGTTTGCTTTGGATAAAGGTCAAAATATTTTTGTCTACTTTCTGAGTTTGCTCTAATTGAATCAGTTCCCAGCTCCCTGCTCCCCTCTTTTGTAAAGGAGGGAATGGTAGAAGGTGAGAACAAATGGCTCTTTCTGGAGGGACTGATTCTCTCAACAGCAACACCTGATTCAGTTGACTGTAAATGAGTTTGATTTCCAGCTAGCACAGTTCAACCTGTGCTGTCACTGCACACAATGGGCGATTCAGAGAACAGAAGCTGGGCTCAAACAGCCACTAGAGGGGCCTCCCTCCTCTGGCCGGCTGAAAAGGAACTGCAGTCTGTCTGAAGTTTGTGTTGATGGGAGTTAGCTTGTGTGGCTTGAATACAAAAATCAGAAGTGAGCTTTTATCCCTCAGTACTGACTTTGGCTGGTTTGTCTTTTAAAAGCTGCTGGTTCAGACTACTTTGGAAGTTTCAGCTGAGATTCTATAGTGTTTTCCCCCAAGCCAGGCAAAAGAATAACCAGGAACTGGAGAAGTTCTGCTTCCCTCTACTGCATCTCTGTGTTGAGAAGTCATATCTGGCCTTTTTGTGATTCGTGCAGTAATGAATCAGTGATACATGTGGCAAAGACCTGAGGAAATGGCATTTCATCATGTTTCTCATTCATTTCTCTCCAGCTCTGGTGATGAGCAGTCCCAATGCTGAGCAGCACCAGGGCTCTCCTTTCAGTCTCTCAAAGCCAGAGAAGCTGCAGCACGGTATGTGCGGTGTGTGAGGGGGAATTTCATGCTCCCTCCTGCCTGCGGCCACATTCCAACAGTGCCATGTTAGCACATGACCTGATCCAGCGGTGAAGACTGACTGGAGAAAGTGAAGGCCTGTCCTGGTAGGCTCAGCCCTTCCTCTTGACTGCCTGCAGCAGAGTTGCATCTGTCCTGGGGAAAACAATGGCTTTTAAAAGAGAATGTATATATAAATGTAACTACAGGCAGTTAAAATTATCTTCTTTCTAGCTATTGTCAAAGATCCTATCGTGACTTTTACCAGGTGATGAGAAAATTGCTCATAATCATTCACTGAGGGAAATATATTTCAATAGCTAATGAAATGAATGGAGATGCCTCATCTTATTCCAAATTGAACTCCCATGGAATTTCAATATCTTGTACCATGTGGCAACTGAATCTGGGCCCCTGTGTTTGTTGGAAATAATAGGAGACAAGGTATGAGAGGTTCTACCTCAACAAGGTTAACAAACCTGCTTTGACCTGCAGCAGGAGTTGAGATGAAGAGGAAGATAGTTATGACTGCTGGAGGGCTTAAGATCTCAATCAGCCCTCACTCCTTTAATTAGCATGAAGCTGTTCAGGAGTTACAGCTCACAGCATTGGGCCATAGAAAGTCACAGGAATAATGAGCCTGCAACTGATCAGGAATTGGGTAAACACTACCCTGGGGCTTCGTGTGGTCACAGATTTGGCATTGCCTAACCTGGCTCTGCAGCATAAGCAGAAAATTATAATGTATTTGGCAACATCATGCAGCAAGATGCAATACAGTGTCTCACTAAGCTGAAACGTATTTCTCACATATGAGATCATTAAAGGGTTAAATTAAAAGAAAAACAAAACAAAAGCCTCTCTTAAAAGGAGGGGGTTTACAGTTATCTTTCCTAGGATTGAATCTTGTCTGATATACATCATTCAGTTTTGCTTTAACTGGAGAAAAAAAGATTCCTCCTTTGTAGCACCTGTGTTTCATTGCTATAGGAGCCAGGAACGCTTAACATCTCTGAGAACCTTTTCCCCATTCCTGGGCAGAAGTTCATAAATCCTTCTGTCTCCATAAATTGTGCCTTCAATTGGTGTGAAATTAGGACATTCCTTAAAGAAAAAAACACTCAGAAAGAAATCTTTCAGAAAGAAGGCTTCAGTTGCGTCATGTAACAATATATCAATATTCCATCATGATATAAATATGAATTTTGAACTTAATATGCTAATGGAAATCATAATAAATAGTCTAAAAATAAGTCCAGTGAAATGATAGCTGAAATAAAACATGCCCAGACAAACTTAAACCAAACAACGAACAACCAAAAAGCAACAGGAAACTCAAGTTGTTTGGGGATTTTTACTGGTTAGGGTTGGGTTAGCCCTTGTATTTGGGCCTTTTTGAGTTACAAGTTTTTCTGAGCTTACCACGCTTCCTTGAAATGGATAAATGTCAGAGAAATGCTGTGCAGCAGAAACTGTGCTATCAACATACACGGACTTTTTCTAATTACATTAATTTATGAACAGTGCACATGTGTGAATACGATTCAGATGAAAAACGCATTCTGAAAAATAAAGGTTATACCATATTAGTGGCAAATAATTTAAGATGATTACCTGAAAGAGGAAAATAAATATATTTATTCCTGAAAGCCACCACATTTGGACAGAAAGTATGTTTTCCAAAAACACTGCTACATGGGCAATTCCCCTTCCTGCCTACTTGCCAGTATACCTGGGGCTTGGGGTGACCTCGCTGTTAATGTAGGTCACTCTGAAAGTAACGCTTCTTATTTATTTCCAAGGAAACTACAATGGATACAAAGAGCACAAGAACACTAGATGACAGAGCAAATTCTCAGCTACAATACATTATTTTTCAGCATAGTCACCACCGCGAGCTATGCATTTTCACCAGCAATGAACAAGAACCTGCATGCTGTGTTCATTTGCAGCAGTGGAGGTGACCCACTGTCACCACTGCTGAAACGCATCACCCAGTGCTTCACTGTGCTTACGTGCACCGCCTGGTCTTTAGAAATGCAAGCATCAATGCGTATCAGTGGATGCCATGGAGGAATTAAAGGACACGCCGTTGCTTCAGCCACATTTCCATGTCAGACACCATTCTGTTCACACTGCCCCTCTGCTGCCATCTGTCTCACGGCAACAAAACGGAACGGAATATTGGTGGGAAGGTTCAGCCTCTACTGCCGTACCACCAACATCCACCTCTGACGTCGTGGGCCAACATAATAACATAGGAGGCATTACTTTCGGAGCAGCCATTGTAAATACTGAAAAGGAAAGCAAAGCGTTCTCCTTGGTTTCTCCCCCTTTCATATTTCCTAAGGCTTCCTCGGCTTCCTCCTTCACTGCTCTTAGCAGACCCTCGTGCCACCCTTCGGGCACTGCGCTGGGGTTACGGAGCCGCCCCGTGAGTCAGCGCAGCGCCGGGCACATCAGCCAGAGCTCTGCCCTGCGCCTCAGCTCGGGGCTGCCGGATGGCCGGGCCGTTGGGAGGGGATCGTTGTTACACCACAGAGGAAGAGGCGAAGCGACAGAGCCAGGAGCGAGCCTTGGGGCTGTGTGATTTATGCCGGAGGGAGACACAAAGATGGGAAAACGGTACGTGGGCGGCGAGACCCTCAGTAGCGCAGGCGGAGATGTTCTTCACCTGAGCCCAAGCCGAGGAGCTGCAGAGCCCGAAAAGGGAACGCCGGGAGATGCTGCCGGCTGCTCCCTTCGGCAGTAAAAAAGAAATAGCTGCTGTCGAAACTTATGTGTAAGTTCTTACAGACACTTCCAAGTGTCCTGGTTTTAACGGTGAAAACTTCTATTTACCGAAACATTGTTGTGGGTTTTTTTTTTTTTTTCTGCAAGAGACGTACACCTTTCTCCCAAACAAGCACTGCAGAAGCTTTAAGAGAACCCTCTTCCCCAGAACGCAACACCTCACGGCCTCCGCAGTCCGCGCTGCCGGACCCCCTCGCACGCGCCTCTGCCTGCCGCCGAACCGCCGCCGGGGCGCTCAGCAGGCTGCACCCCGCGCGGGGCCGGGGAAGAGGCGCTGCGCCTTTACGGCGGCGGCGCGGCCCGCGCGGGAGGTGGAGGCAGAGCTGCGGGCGGGGCGGGCGCTGCGGGTGTGTCCTGCGCTCGCCCACCCCTGTGCCGCGGGCTGGGCGGGCGGGGAGGAGGGGACGGGCCGGAGGAGGAGGAGGAAGCGGAGGCGGCCGCGGATAGCGGGCAAATGGGGAGCTGAGCGGCTGCAGCAGTACCGCGCAGCAGCAGCAGCACCAGCAGCGGGAGCAGCCGGCGGCGGGTCCGTGCTGGCGGGGGTGCGCCGGGAGCGGGGCGCGGGCGCGGGCGCTGCCGGGCGCGCAGCGGGAGTGCGGACCGGGCTGGGGCTGCGGAGCTGGCAGCGGGCTGGGCTGGGGCTGGGGCTGCGGGCAGCGGCTCCCCGGGCAGCACCGCGCTGCGCCCCGTGAGGCCGGGCCTGCCGGGCTGCGGCCGGCTCAGCGCGGTGGGGATCGCCGTCTGATTTCTTTCCTTTTTATTTTTCATTTTTAAAGCCGTTGCTCCGTAGACGCCGAGCGCCAACTGCAGCCGGGCTGCCCCGGGCCGATCCGCCCCGCGAGCGGGCGCCCGCCGCCTCCCGGAGAGGCACCATGCAGACCTTCCTCAAGGGGAAGCGGGTGGGCTACTGGCTGAGCGAGAAGAAGATCAGGAAGCTCAATTTCCAGGCCTTCGCCGAGCTGTGCCGGTAAGGAGGCGGCCGTGGCCTGCGCGCGCCCCGGCGTTCCGTGCTCCGCGCGCGATCCCCGCAGCCCGGCGGGCGGGGCCGCTGCCCGCGCGAGGCTCGGCGGCCGTGCCGTGGGATCACCTGGGCGGCGGGCGGGGTGCGCCGCTCGGTTGGGCGCCCGCAGACCTCGCTGGGGCTCGAGGCTGACTGGGAATAACTTGCCTTCGTGTCGTGCTGAATTACGTAAAGTAGCGCGTCTGAACCCGAGAGGGGAGCCCGGACTCGGAGGAGGTGATGGAGCCGTGTCCGTGTTCTTTGCTCCCGGGGCGGTGTGATAGGTGCCATTAGGTGTTACCGGGATGGCTCAGAGCATTGTAAATGCCGTATATTGCGCAGTCAACTTTATTGTTTAATTGTAAATGTAAACTTTATGTAAGTCCAAGGTTTCGTGACACATTGTGTGAGGCTGAGTAACAGCTCTTTATTTCTTGCTGTTACCACTGTTTTATCTAGAATATGGAATAAACTTTGATAGTGTTTGAATTTCAAAAGTATTGTCATAATCACTGTTCCTATAGCTTCTGCAAAGCGTGTTCAAGCCTTGCGGGACACGTTTTATGAAACTTCATGTATGCTTTATTGAAGTATGCCATGCTGAAACCAGCAATCCCAATGTACTGATAGCCCTGTTGGCAGCACTGGCTGTAAGGAGAAAGGAGGCAGGAAAAAAAAAAAAAAAAAACCCTGAAAACTATTTGGAGAAAGCAGCAGAAGCCTTTACATCAGCTGGCGTTCCTGACGTTCTCTATCTGCTCTGTCAAACTTCAGCAGAACTACCAGCATCTTTTAAAGTACAGAAACAGCCACAGGCTCTGGTTTAATTTCTTATGAAATTTCGTGGGCTTCTCAAGCGAACTGCGTCCAGATGAATGATAAGTTTTGAGTCTGCGTAAGAGATTTTTTTGTTTATTTCTTTTGTGTTGCTCAAAAAATACGCTTTAATAATTGTAAGGCAAATGTCATTTTCAGAACTGATATTTGATGTAGTTTGGCTTTCAGGAACAGAAACTCAGAGGAATCTTAGGAAATGCATAACCACTTTCTCCTTGTAATTTGTTTTTCATTTCTGGTACCGTATGCTGTGCTTTATATTTAAGGATCTCCAGAGGTGACTTTCTGCGCTCTGCTGGTCTCGTTTCTCTCCTGATTGTGTTACCTGCCTCATTTTCACTACTTCAGAAGTGCCTTGCATTTGTCTTTCATAACACAGTACTCAAAGAGACTGTGTGTCTGTATATATTTATCAACTGTTCTAAATCCTGGTAGTGCTATGAAAATGGACCTTCAAGTTTTCTCTCTTGCTGCGCTTCCCTAATTTTGTAATGAAGATTAGGCTGCCTGCCTGCCTCCCTCTGTGCCAGTGAAGTTCGCTTTGAATAGCATTTGTAGAGGTTGGATAGATACATCCATTCAGTCATGCCTCAATTATTATTATTTTTTTTTAAACAATAGAGTTAGTCTATTTGTAGAAGTGAGGTTTAAACATCAGTGCTGCTGCTGGAGCCAGTTGCTCAGAAGTCTTGGACACTCTGTTTTCCATCCTGGTAATTTCTATTGATACTGGTGGTAGGCTACATTTGTTTAGGCAAAGACTTCAAGTATTTAATGCATAATATCTATTAGATTGCCTGTGTACTTCTATGATTTTGTTACTGCAGGAAAAGTAGTGCCAAGCTCAACATACATCTTAACAGGAATATTGTGCACGGTAGGAAATAAGGCGAGCATACTCATTCCTGCACAGTGATTCATGTGTTAGAGTGGACTATGTGTCTGTCTGTCTACTGTATGTATTTTATGGTGGCTGTTACTTGGAATTTATTTTCCTGTTGCCTAGGGATATACTTTCTGGATGACTAAAAAGTTCAGCTTTGTTTGTATGGCTTTGCAGCGAAGCTGTTCTGTAACCCAGGAAAGTAACAGAAGACGCCTAATGAACTCCTGAAGCGTGCTGGTTTTAGACCAGGAGTATTGTTTCGATAAGAAAAACTTTAAATTCTTTGCAACCTGTCAGTGCAGCCAGTACCAGTGTAAGGCAATGGTCCCTAAGAGGGATCGGGGCATTTCAGAATCAGTTTGAGCCATCCTTTGGGAGATGGTCTAAGTGCTGAACTGCTTTCTTCAGAGTGGTTTCAGACTTCGTCTCCAGCAGCATTCCAGAGCTGAGATGTCACTGTTGTACTACTTGAAGTGAGATGAGAGAGTGAATGGGACAGCAGTCAGGTGCTGCTGTGGAGCACAGCCATCCGGTCTTCAGGCCTGCTCTCCCATAAATACTGTCCTTGTATTCTTATCCAGTATTGAGGTGCAGCTTTGGCTGAGTTTCAGTAAGTTTCCCTGGGAAATTTTTTCATTTGGATTCTTCCAAGATATTTTGTGGCTGTAGAAAGGATAGACACCTCCTTTATTTTTTTTTGAAAATTTTTGTTTGGAAAGACAAAGTTCTGATCATTCATGTGTCTGGATCAGCCCCTCTCCTGCCTGAACAGAGTTTCGTACTTTTGCTTAAGTCTTGCATTCACAAGACCTTGTATCAAAGACCTTCAAGTTCCCTTGTACTGTGGTCCCCTCACCGTGGCACAGTGCAGTCCTGCCTTCAGGGATCACAGCGGCTTCTCAGCTGTGGACCAAGGAGGTGAAAACAGTGGCTGTGTGTATCTACCTCCACATTCATAGCCCAGCAGCAGTTCCCAAATTAAGTTATGTCCCACTGCAATTCTGATGCTTCCATAGCCCCAGGGCTGTGCTCAGAGAGTGGCTGAATGAAGGACGGAGCCCTTGCCTGTGGGAGGCCTGGTGGGGTCATGCCTTTGGTTCTGGTTTCTGCTTCCCACATCAGTTTTCGGTTCCACCTGCCAACTGCTTTCTGCATGTCCATGCAGAAAGGATCCCATGTTCCTTGGTACTCATTGGTGTGGTTTCAGCAGGGAGCAGTATGCCCCTGTTGGCCTTGTCAATATGAGGATGTTCCCCTGGGAGCTGCAGTATGAGACTGAGCTCCTGTGTGTGGAGAAGGGCACTTGGCGTGGGCTTCTTATTGCCTCGTTCAGTTTGTTACTCGGGAGGTTATTAAAGAAGCTGCTGCTGCTGCCAGGCTGACTTGTACTTTTCTGAGAGCTGTTGGGTCACCATGCCTTATATTGAGGTCAGTATCACCTGTGTGCTAGTGTATGTGCTGCAGCTGTATGGCCAGGGCCTGCTCTGGGAATGCAGTGTGTGCTTTCCTTGGGGTCATGGAGTCCAGCTCCCTCAAGGTGTGGCTCAGATCCAGAGCTTTAGGTAACTGCTATTGGTAAAATACCAGGACCTATGGCCTGCTGAACATCTGCGATCCTGCTAAAAAGTCAGACAAGGTTTCTTGGGACTGCTAACTGATAAGTGAATAACCCTAATTTGTGCCTGTAAAATGTGCATAGATGTACTGCCATTCCTCTTTGGGTGTTGTGAGTAAGGAGTCTTGTGTTCGTGCAGTATACAGAAGGGCAATGGTAGTGGTACAGAAAATTGCCTCTATCAGCTCAAAAAATGAGTTGTGTGTGTTAGGCACCAGCTCAGATTAGTGAGGTGTGGCTGTTTACAAGTGGCTGTTGTCTCTCTAAAAGCCATTTCCTTGATGATAGTGTTCTGCATGTCATCAGTTAATATTGCTTTTTTAGAGAGCCATGAAGATGTGAGGCAATAAGGTTATGGTTATGTGAGTAAGTTACAATGATAAAAGGTGAAATACCCAAGAGGAAATAATTCAAAGTCATCCCATTATTCATAATTTGCTTCTCGTTTATATTGGATAAAAAAACATTCAATAGTGCAACTCATAAGTTCACATGCTAGTGTGGTAGTTTTTCTGTTTAGATACTGTGTCAGTTAATCTGTTTTATAGCATGCAGAAAATGTTGAGCAAAGGAATTGAAGAGTTGCCCGAGGTTGTAATTTGTCACAATACATCCTGCAGTTTGACAGACAGCAAAACTGTGCTTGTTCGTCTTAATGTCCACATAATTTATGGTCAGATTTTATTGCACTGTGTTTTTCCCACAAAAGATTGAAAGCCTGAGAGGAACAATTTCTCAGGGAATCCTAGAAATTCTGAGAAGCAAATTCTGCCCACCAAAGGAAGTAATGTAAGCAAAATAACACAGAATGCCTTATGGTGAAGATTTGTTGCCTTAGTCTTTAGTTAGCAAGTCCAGTTGTCGTCCTTCCTTGAGAAATTGTTCACGATTGCACGTGAAAGTAAGGCTACAGATCTGTTTTAGGTGCTACCTACTGCTGAAATCTGCTCTGGAACTTGAGCGTGTGTTATTGAGCTACTGTCTGCATTAGTTCAGTGGTTCTTGGTTTTACACAAAGAAGTGTACTTTTCTTTGTGCATGTAACTCTTGTTAGAGCACGTGTCGCCTGTGCTGAAGGCCGTGTGGGTATGAAAAGTTGCTATGGTTTTTCTGGTTTTTATTTTGTCGTTGAGTTATATTGAAACTATTTTGATGCAGCTACCAGATCAATCTGCTGAGCCAGTGAATTTTCAAGCTGATGTATTTTTCATACCAAAACATTAGTGTGTCTAATTTAAGTTTTTGTGTGACTTGCTCTTGTTTAGTTAATCGGTGCCATAAGTGGGTAAGTGCTTCGATCAGTACTATAAGTATCTATGGTTCACTTTTTCTCCTTTAGACTCTGTGTTGTTGTCCTTTGTTTGCTGTGGTCTGTGCCCAAGAACCTAGACATGAGTTTTAAGATACATTTAAGAATAGTGCTGGTATGAAGACTTCGAATTTAATCTGTTTCTTTATCGGAGACCATGAAGTGTGTGTCTATATACCTACAAACGTATGTGTATATATGTGTTTTCTTCTCCCTGCCCCAGAAGACCTTAGGGGATTTTATGTAACCCCAGTTTGCCACAACCACCTAAATATAGCTTCTGTTGAATATCTGGCTTGTGCCAGTTAACTTTTACATTT